GTTGCTCCCGACACACACACAGGCAACACCGTGATATATGCGTTTTGTGCAGCTATTACACAGCACAAAACGCATAAAAACTCGTAAAATTCAATTTTTTTTTTGTCTTGCTTTTTTCCCCAATTTGAAAGTTGCCTACATTTTCTCGCTCGAACTTTCACTTGTTTTTTAGTGAAACGTAGACGTACCTAAGAAATTGAATCTAAAATTTTTGAGGTTCCGTATGGGTGGGAAACATCTTTCTAAAATTTTACTCTGTTTCTCTTCCCCGCGTCTTTTCTCTCCTGGTTTTTCTGGGTGCTGAAAGCCTAGGACAAAAATCCGAATACATACATGCACACACAAGGTTTCGGCAGTATACGTTTTGCATCGCTGTTGTAGCACAAAACACGTAAAAAGCAAAGTAATCTCAGATTCGCCAGACAAAATTAGGAGTATAACTTTTCAGAGCTGAAGGTAAGAACCTCCAATTACTGCTAGAAACAAGGAAATTCGGAATTGTTTCTACTGACTTGCAAAAAATCCAGCTGCACGGATGTGGTTAATCTCTTTTTCGAAGGTTGTTCGGGAAGTCAACTGAGAGTCGTTTGGTCCTTTTTTATGCGCAGCACCAATTTACTGTAGAAATAAATAATGAATTAAGGTTTTTTCTAGTGATTTAGAAGAGGGACATTTTTATGCCAAATTTTTACAAATATGCCATTGCAAAAGTGCATATTGTGACGATCCCGGTGTGTGTGTGTTTGTGTGTGTGTTTGCGTCTGCCCGGGCATTTCAACTCGGCAGCCAAGCAGGCTCCGGCACTAAAATTGTGCCAGTGGGTCCCCGGCTAAGTGCGACCTCAGAGTCGCGGTACCAACCCGCACGCACCTCTACGCCTCATGCACGAACACATGAAGGTTTTGGCGGGGAAATCGCTAACTCGGGGAGCCAGAAAAGCTTGGGAGGGGAGGGGGGGGAGGGCGGAGGCTGAAATTTTAAGGGGATGTACTCAAGCCACGTACAACTTAAAATTACCAGCCTCCAAGTATGTGTGGTTCTCACATACGGCCTTGTAAAAGTTTTTGGCCGAAAGAATCACTAACTCGGGAACCAGAAAAGCTGGGAGGTTGAAATTTCAACACAATGTTTCCTGTCCGAGTAAGACCAGTATGTTAACAAGTTCTAGCTACTGAGTTTCTGAGCGATCTTATTACGGAATGAAATATTGCTAAAACGCATGATCGCACTGGCCCTTCTGGTACTCGTCTCTAATGATTTCCCACTCCACCAAGTTTCCCACCCGATCGCAGATATACGGTGATGGAAAAGAAAAAAGCAGAGGAAGAAAAAGACCGTGAGATCTAATTAAGACATGTGGTGAAGTCGATAGTGCCACAGTGGTAGTTCGCATATGCAGCCATAGGCTTGGTGAGATTGCGCTGTCTTTTTTAACCTGGACTTGCATGCGCAGAGAAGCTTGAGGCGAGGAACAGTTAATGTCTCTAAAAAGTAACAAAACGGTATCATATTCAGATGTATAACACATGGTGTCGGAGCTTTCGAACGAGTCAGAAATTATGAGGAAGCTGTGGCCTGGCTGGAGTATCTTCTCTACGGCGAACGTAAGTGTTTCTAAAACAGTACTTACTTTTCAAATAAGCCTTTTGCCGTCTGCTAGGAGGGGTATGCTCTAGTCATAGAAACGCTCTGAGTTGGTTCTGAAACAAAGCTGCCATCGAACCATCTGGCAAATTACAAAAATCAATTGCATATTGGTTGCGAAGGATTTTTAAATGCTTTGCACGTGTAAACAGCCTTGAAATCAATCGCAGATCGTTCCAATTGCACTCTTTCGCTTATAACATAGACGCTAGCTGCTACCAATTCGTAACAGATGTTCCAGTCGTGGCAGTCTGTTTCTTCTTTCTTTTTATCACCGTTGTAACAAAAAATTATTGCGCTGACATCGAGCGTGAGAAATATGAAGCGAATTTTTTGTGCAGCTAGTGGAGGCAGCTCCGCCGATTATTTTGATTTTTTGGATTCTTAACAAAAAATGCGAAATTTTTGTGCAGCGGGTTTTTTTTGCAGCCTGTCTTTTCTTATATTCACTATTTTTTAACAGTGTTTTTGCACATCAAGCAAAAACACGTCACAGCGAAATCGTGTATGTGCTTTTATGCATAAGCTGATGTTAGAATTGCATCATGACCGTGCGTTGTGTCAGGAGCTTTGAAATGAGCTTTCTCACCTTTCTGCGTTTTGACTGTGACCTCTGGCACAGAATTTGACTGGTCCTACGGTTGAAGAACCAATAAAGCCGTGACCTCGAGTTTTCAAATACTTGTTTCATCATATCATTCCATGGAGTTTGATTTTAAAAATATTTATGTCCGTATTTAGGACGTTATACCTCTTCCTGAACGGATCAGACTTTAAGTTTGGTGTTTTGCAATTACTACAGAGGTCAAACAGTCATCATGACGTAGTGTAGCCATCGTCTGCGTCCGTTTACATCTATCCATTGTGATCAGAAACGCACCTCTTCCCGCCAGTCATGGGATGGTCGCCTCTGTTTATCGTTATCAGTCTTTTCGAAGTTCTTTAATCAGAGCTTTTTTGCAGAATTTAAATCAATTTTTTGCTTCCATCGTGGCGAATGGTGGGATCGATTGGCGTTAAATTTACACTTTCATCTAAAGGATAAAGATCGAGCAATGAAAGCAGTTGTCGATGGTTTGGAGGATCAGTTGGTAGGCGACAAAGACCGTTTACTTCTTCAGGTTTCCTGTTTTCTTTTTTTTTTTAACATTTTCTTGTAGAAATGTCTGTGGAAGTGTTCTGGAACACTAACACCACCTGCCTTCGTTTTCTTATTTAGCTTTTGGGCAGGAATTCAACATTCTTTCGAAAGCCAAAAAAACAGCAAAGCAAATTTCGAGATCGCCAGCAAGTTGACCACCAGATGATGCAGTTTTGGTCATACTAAGCTGTTTTAAAAAAGAAATAGCAGTTCGCAGTCTCGTGCTCCCAGTTGATCTCATGATAACGAGCAGAAGCGCTACGCCACTGAGAATTTTATGGTTTTCAACACGGATTTGTTCAGCGTCAGACTATTCAGTAGCGATGAAGCAGTGCGCAAAACCTGATAAGACTAGGTGCAGAGAGAGAGAAATCATAAATAGAAAGACGAATTGCAGTTGAAAAAGGGTTAATGGCATTAAGTTCATGGCGAACATGACAATCTCGCGGAGTTGTTTTCCCATATTGTTGCCCGCTTTCTGTCTTGAGTTAGTATTTCTATAGTTTTTTGCAGGACAGAGGGGAGAAACTGAATCCAAATTGGAGAGGGCCTCTAGATATTGCAGCATCTCAACAAGTCTTCATCAAAGGTCGCATCGTAGGCAAAAATCTCGGCGAAGCACGGACAAACAGATTCCTTATTGAAAGGTTTGTTATTTTTAATTCCATGTTTATTCTTTGTTTTGTGTGTTTTTTGCAACTGTGCAATACGGAAGTGCATATTCTGGAGGAGGTGGAAGGGAGGGAGGGAAGGGCGGAGTGGCATGCTATATGCATATTTATTTTTTCGCATATTTGCCCGCATATTTTGATTCCTAAATCTGCTTAAGCTACGAAGCCGGGATTTTGGCAACGTTGACTGTGTAGATGAATTCCTAAGCATAATGAAAAATTCCACTTCCCCTTCGCTCTTTCATACTGACACGTCAAAGATATTTTGTCAGGGGAACGATTTCGGTAATCAGAAAAAGCTAGAAAGCTGAAATTTTACAAGGATATCCCTGTATTTGTGCTACTCAGAGACTTGAAATTCTGCCTGTCGACAAATCAGGTGTCAAACTGAGACAGCGCCAACAGTCTGAGTTTGTTATTTGACTTTCCAATTCAAGAATCAAGCTGTGTCCCCCATGTGTGAACCCGTAGTCATTTAAGGAGCTATCACATCCTCCGTAACTGACTTGCAGAACTTGATGTTGACAATTTTATAATATCGCAACCAAAACAGCTGGAGTGCTGAAATTTTGTGTGTAGTCTGTGTTTAGATAAGCGTGTATGAAAAGCGCCTCCCTTGCCCCTTGCATTTTGTGTGCGGACGAGTGGAATTTGACATTTTGTAACTCCACAACCAAAATCGAGACATGGAAATTTGACGTTGATTTTTAAATTTGCTAACCGGATTAGCGAGGTTGAAATCTTGCAGCATCGTCCACAAGCATGTACTGGTAATTATGCCTAAAATAGACTTCCCCCTTCCCTATGTCACACGCTCGGGCACGCGCAGGTTAGCACAGGCGACTTTTTAACTGGAGTTGGGCAAAAAACGCGTGTGCGCGTATTTGGACAGTTGCTGGAAATTGGATGGGCTCGACTCGGCTGGTTTGGGGGCGGGTTGCAATGACTCGGAGGTCGGGGGTTAGAAGGCTGTACGTGGGGGAGGGAGGTCGAGGCCAGAGCTGATGGTTTTAGGTTTTGGGGTCGTGGCGGAGAAAAGGGCAGAGTTGTTTACTGCAGAGGAACTGAGACCTTACTTGGAGGTAAAAAGTAGAAACAGACGGTGAAAGGGGATTTATGGGGGGGGGG